TTAGAGTTTCAGTGACAGCTCAGACAGGGTGAGGGACTTTGCACAATGTGAACCTTTATGGACGGCATCCAAGAAAATAAAAAAAACGTTCTTGCTTTTTAGCACTAAACTGCATCACTGAAATTTGAAAAAAAGAAGCTTGATGAATACTGCACATCCATTTTTTGTTCAGATGAGACCAGGATATATTGTTGTTTTGTATATTTGCAATGAACTTGTTCAGAACTACCAGACAGAAGACAGTCCAAAAAGTGGAGCATAGATGTGGAAGCACAAAAGGTGCCGAGGAGACAGTATATATTACACCATGAATGCCTGTGGATATGCCAAAACACTGGCAGACAAGATGCCTTACAGTCTGCAGAAGCTTGGCAGAAGAGGAATATTTCAGCATGGTAAAAGATCCAAAACACACCGCCAAAATCACACAAGAGTTTCTAAAGAAGAAAAAAGAGAAAATCATACAAGTATGCTGCCTGACTTGAATCCAACAGAACACCTTCAGGGTATTATAAAAAGAAAGGTAGAGCAACTCAACCCCTGAAGCAAAGAGCAACTGAAATAAAAATAGTTCATGAATAATGGCAATGCATCTCTTTAGAAATATGGAAAAGGATGAAATCTGTCACTAAAAATAAAGTTTGATATTCAAAGTTTTAAAAGAACAGAAGATTTCGATCCCAGTAACAAAAGGTGCACTGATTTTTGTTGCAATAAGTTCATACGCAATTTTTAATATAGCAAACCTAAACTGTCACTTTTTTTTTATTTTACACAAGCACAAAAACCCTTTTTGTTCTACTTAGAAGTAATGCAATTATTGAGAGGTGACACAATTTGGGATCTTTTGGCATTTACATTACATTGTACAGTTTAGTCGCTTCACTTGCATACTGTATGTACCTGCTTATGAGCCTGTGGAGCCTCAAGAGACTCTGATCCAATCTGAACCCTTTCCCCTGCCCTCTGGAATGCCAAAAATGCCACAGTACACCCTGATCTGCCAAACTGGGAATTACAGCTGCCCTGGAGATCCTGGAGAAATCTGGGGCACCGGAGCTTCGATACACAGAGCACAGCGGCGATGTTGATGACTGGAGAAGTGCTTGTGGCAGAGCAGACACCTGTTTGAATCCTGTATATAATATTGATTTTACAGTTGATATTTCTGATGAAATGCTTTATGAGAAACATCCGGCAATAAGAGCGGACCACACAATGTGATGAAATATTAGATTCTGACCACAGAAAAAATATATTGAAAACTACAATTATAGTTTGTTTTACTGTTTATTTGAAGTCCCCCCAGTTTCTCCCACCACTGAATGTGTACCCCGGTACATTGCGTTTTTATTAACTGCTAATTATGTACAAATATTAAAAGCATGCGTTTCAGTTCACTGCTAGCGTCCCATTATTTTCTACACGCTATGTCAAACGCTTTTCCATTCTGACAAGAATTCAAGCACCGACATTAAACCCTTTTTTGCCTTCAGATAAAAAACACTCGCTAAACATTGTCTATCAGCAGCAAAAACAAGTTTTAAAGTTACATTTCACCCTACTGCTAATGATGGCCAAGCCAAACAACACAGAGCAAGGTCACATAAAGACAACAGTGGTGTGAGCAAACACACAACTCGATATTTGGAACAGATTTAGCAATTTTAGAATGTTTCTAGAACAGTCTGTAGTATTTTCTTGCATGTCACCACTGGTGCTGTAGGCATTATTCTCTGTTCTGAACTAAATATAATTTAGCGTGTCAGTGCAAAAGCGTAAAACATGGTAGGTTGTTATCTTTCCGTTTTTTTTCATTTATGTGGTTGAAAGCTGGTTCACTATGTGTAAGACTAGGCCAATTTGCTTGTTTGTGGTATGTGCAAATCGTTTCTGCAGTGTGTTTTCAACATGTAATGGAAAAATGTCTTAATGCATAGATGTTTTCCAGTTACAGTGATAAAGGGCTGATGGACCAGCATTTCTAATGGCTTGTTCCTGAACACTCTTGCCTCAGTATCTTAGAACATGGCAAAAAAGAGAAAAAAGAAAAAGAAAACTAAGAACTAAATGAAGATTTAAATTGATATTGTTCAAGAACTTTTACAGCTCTATATTTGAGCATAAACAGGACACCGTGTTCTTCAGTGGGCTTCTGATCTTTGTCCTATTACAGTCTTCCTGATGCTCTATTTCACACTATCATCATATAGATGGAAATCATTTCTGGCATCAATGAAAAATTAATTCCTCACTCACTCAGTCCCTTTCTTCTGCCCCTTCACACGCATTCCCAGTTTTGCAAACTCTGCTGCAGCCGACACAGCGCTGCGTTTTGAATTTCACTCTGGCGTTTGGCACTCCCTCATTCAGCCACACATCACCTCACGAGGGGTTCGCTCCCCACTGATTATAAAAGCAGCAGTTTTTTGTTTTTCATTCTAAAAGAATGTTGTGCTGGATGCGCGCACTCGCTCCACACCTTGACATCTTAACATCTGTGCATGTGAGACCACAACAGGAATCAAACCACTGATGGTGCCACGCTGTAATCACTGAGCAAAACAACACCATCTGTGACTCACAGCCCACTCACCTTTCCTTCATTACTCTCTTTTATTTAGAAAAAAAAAAGACTGTTCTGATCCCCCACCTTGATACTCCTAGAGTGTCCTGAAAATCTCATGTTTACCCCTCGAGGCTTCATAAATATCCATCATTAATGAGCTCAGCAGGACCTGGTGGTGATCTCTAATCAAGATTCCAGTCTTTTCCATTACCTGCTCCCTTAACGGTCTGTAAGTTAATGCTGGTGAAGCAGTTTGACATGTTTTAAATTGCTCTACACATGTGAATTTAACTCTTACTAAACACACCTTTTCAGACTGAATAGGAGCCTTTACAACTGCGGTTATTGTAGTAAAGCTGTTTCCTCGTGTTTTCTTCTGTTGTGGAGGAGAAAAGGTCAGGACTCAGCCTGCTTACTTAATCCTTTCCTATATGAGTAAAACCTAGAATTAAATTCAAGGATCCGTCGGAGATTAAATGTAAAATAAGTCAGAAAAGGGGGGAACTAGAACAGAGGGAGGTCGACGACAAGCACCTTCTGTTGCATGCAACATATAAGGAATATCTCTGGTCTCAGATGACTCTGGAAAAGCACCTACCAGTTGAACTGTATCTGTTTTCTGGCAGAACAAGTTCACGATTCTCAGGCAACCTAAATATAATGCAGTGCCTCCAGACATATCCACTTCTTCAACATGACAAGGTGCAAGATGCAATTGAAGATATTAACTTGCACTTACATAAATAAAGATGCAAATGAGATGCATCGTGTCTCAGCCTTGGGTTTATTTTCCCTCCCACCGTAACTGTCATCACATTTACCATAATAAAGGGTTAAATTTATTCCAGGGAACAGTCTTAGAACCATAATCCCTTCCCACATACTGACCTTAACCTTTGCTGGTGATTGAGAAACTGGACAGGAATTTGAGAAAAACACCCACTCCTGTTACTGCATGATGCCCCCTGTTCAAAACACTTCTTTCCACAACAATCTGGACAGATCCGTGAACTCTAGAAGCAGCTTTTATGATGTTGGAACAGAGGAGGGGGAGAAATACAAGAAGGAGAAACCCGATCTCAAAAAAAAAAAAGAAAATCCCACAATTACACGACATGACATGATGTTTCCTGTAATGTGTAACATTACACATGTGTAATGTGTGCAATGAGTCCCCCCCACTCATAATAAATTAAATGATAGAATTACAGATTTTGAACTTTTGAACAGGCAGGAAAATGTCCTACAAATGATTTATGGGGAACCAGCAGGTTCAGACAGTCTTTGGATTTTTCTAACCTTATTTAGAGAATAACTTATCTGCAAAACAACAAGACTAAACTGTTGCATTCCTCCAAAGTAAAATCAATGATTTCTATATTGAAGCTGCCTTTCCTGTCTGCTTTCCGTACTGCCTTTCCTATTACTGTATATCAAAATTCAGCTTAAAGCATTCAGTGATGAAGGAGAAATAATGTGAGCATTTACTGTTGAAGGTTTGTGATATGACCCTAAACAGGATGTGTTTAATTGAAGCACATATATAAAAACACTTTTACTACTGTGGTCATGTACGTCACAAATATTGGTCCACAGAAGCTTTATTGTGATACGTTTAATACCAATTTCTGGAATGTCACAAGGTCTTTCAGCATTGATTATATACTACAATATATGAGGGAGTAATATCTTGGGTTTGAATCAAGCATAAGATGTTTGTCACATGCTGCATCCTTCTGATAGCGTTTCCTGTATTTTAACAGTCCAGTCAAAGGGGAAAAAGCAATATTTTACACTTTGCGGAGCACAAAGGGTGTACTAAAAATATCAGATAAAACTTTTTACAAGTCTCCCTGTGGCAGTTTTTTGGGGGGTTACACTTTTTAGGTACAGTATGCCGGTTATAATTTTAAGCCCTGAAGGCAAAGACTTTATCAAAGGTCCCTTTAAGACAAACTGGCTTGCTGCTGCTGGATGGTAGCGTTGAAATGGTGTTAATGAATAGAAAAAAGCACTGTGTTGGTGAGTGGCTGGTATTTATTAAACTTCATGAATGTGCTAACCAGAAAATGTGACTCACGCAAGGGGTAAGGTTTCAGAATGCATGAACTCCCAAAAGTAAATAAAAATAATATGCCTACTTTAAATGTACTAGTGAGTCACACCTGTTATTTAATACTATGTGTCATCTTAAGTGCAAGTTTCTAATGCATGTGTGTGACACATATAGCAGCCAAGACATCACAAACTAAAATTAAGTTGGTGTTGCATGAAAATGCAATCTGCATTTATCTGCTGGTGTTCTTTGAAATGATGTATGATTTTTATTTTTAATATTTCCTATTTGAGATCATGCATCCTGGACAAATTGCACTTATGCACCAGCTGATGTGTTGTTTCATCCCAGCTCACCTGAGCAGATGGTACTCACCCACTTTGAACTGGGAAGTCTGGTCCTCCGGGTCTGTGTGCTCCTTTACCAGCATCAGATGCAGGATGCCGAAAGAGTTTTGGATCCCGAAGATCGAGCCGTTGCACCAGGTCGCAGCGAACACCACGAGCCAGCCAAAGCCTCCTTCTGGTGGGACAAATCCTCCTCCGTGGCCGTGCCTGTCCACCTGGACCCCAGCCTCGGATTCGGAAGCCGGCGAGGACAGGGACGGCTTGCACCCAGCCTCGATCAGCTGCACATCGCTGTCCTCCTTCGCGATTTTACACTCGCTGCCCGCCGCCTGATCTCCCCTGCTCGTGTCTGGTTCCTGGGGAGCGTTTGTGTGCTCCATCTGAGGATCTGCAGCCGGCTGCTCCGTCCGGGAAACTCCGCTGGACGGCTGTGCTGGATTGTCTAGCCCGTTGATCCCCATGCTGTCTGGTCTGGAGGAGAGGTTACTGTGGGCTCTTGGCGTACATGCATGAGATATAGGTCACTGACATAAGAGCACCGATTTGAATACCAGATTTGATTGGCTATCTGTCAAATGTGCAAGACGGACGGTCCTTTGCTGGCAGACAAGCCTCCTGCTCGTAGCCCAAGTCTGAGCGTCAACTTCAGCCAGACATGCGAGCGTTTAGCTACATGTGTCACTCTGGTCGGAGTTGTATTTTCTCAGGAATTAGCAAGCACCGCCTTTTGTTCCTCACAACACGAGTCTGCGTTTCGAGGAACTGCCTATGGACACTAACACCGTATAGCTACTTCTGCCGTCTCGCCTGCTCGCTGCCAAATGCGGATCATCAACCTGTGAAAGCGTCCGCTCCGCCTCGACACCGTGTCGTCCTGACACGCAAGCCCCGACGCGGCGCTCAACATCTCCCGGTGCTACAAGAAACGACGAAGACGCGCTCCTCCTCTTCTATCTGACATATTTACGCGAGTGGAGATGTGATGTAGGTAGGCCTGAGTGGGTCCCGTGGGCAGTCTCGGCTCCTAACTGTCAACAAAGCTCCGGCCGTCATTCAGCAGCCCGCCCCCGCCTCCTTTCCCGGCGGATGGACGGTTGGAGCCAATGGGGGAGCTCCAGTACAGTTAGTCGTTGGACGAGTTTGTACTTCGTGTCTTATCACGGAAAGACCCGAGTGTGACCTACTTTCCTCCTCGGACGGGACTCGTAACAACATCCTGTTGCTAGCTAACCTGCACATCCGCTCCAGCCGTGTTTTTATTTAGTAAGTAGCGTATTGAAATAAAGTATATTTTAATGATAACTATGTACTGTAACTTTTACTTCGTAAGTGAGTGGAAGAAGTATTCAAATGTTCATGCAAGTTAAATTAGCTACAGTTAACAGGGGCGCCCCCTCTGGATGACAACATGGGGCCCAATGGAAACCCCGGGGTGGCTCACAAAAACCAACAGGAATTTTGTTATGCTTTTGTAATATGGAGGTTCATTTTTCTCAGCCACATGTTATATTTTCATGATTAGCGAGGGCTACAGTGCATCCATTAGCTTGGGAGTGTCATTGCTGCAAATGTCCTACTGGGAAAGGACAAAATGTCTCTATATTTTTTTAAAAAAATGTAAAAAAAGTTTGTAATATTTTGATGGATCAGACTTCTACAGTAAAATAATACTGAGCTGTGTAACTAATGATTTAACTGTAGCTCTATTGCAAAAATAATTTATTAGTAATTAATGAAGTTATTCCTGCATTATGCAGAAATGTTTATCTCTCTCTCACTTTTGGATCCTGCTGCTGTCTGATGCTGCAGGTATTTAATAAACTTAAAATAAAGATTCCTATAAACAGCTGGAAGCAACAAACTTCAAATCTTGGTAACGTTGTGAGATCTGTGCGTTCCTCCTTCAGCTGAAGGCACTAACTGTGAGATTTATGGATGGCAGCACAGCCTGCTGGTACATACAGCTGTTAGTCATCAGTGTTGCCTTCACTTGCACTCAGACACCACAGCGCATTCGCTGAAACTTGGACATCAGAGTTTCAGTGAATGGTCTTGACCTATTCGTGGCAAATGAGGTTTCAGGAGGAGCCCCAGTCACCCCTGGCTCCCCCTCTGATAGCCACAATGATGTAAAACTACTTACTCTGACCCTTCATTTAACATTCTTAGCTTAAGGGAGACCCTACAGGTGAAAAGAGTAACATTTTTAACTAACACGTCAATGTTTTCATCTAAAAAGTGTTGTACTGAGAAAAGGTATAAAATGGGAGTACTCAAATGACTTACAAATACTTCAGAATTGTGCTTAAGTATTGTCCTGAAATAGTCCTATTGTATTTAATGTTTACTTCTACTTCTACTTCTACTAAAACATAACCTCTGGATGCAAATCATTCACCACTAAGGGGAGCTAGAACTCTGTGTATCAGGCTGTTCAAAATTGCGACGACAAGAAGGATTGGAAGTTATTCAACAGCTGTCATTTAGTGTTGTTGGTTTAAAGACAGATTGTTTTTAATATGTTACAGTTCAATAGACTTCACCTAACCAACCAGCTTGTTTATGTTGGCTTAACTCTTTTTTAAATAACACAATACAAAAGTTGTGTAATGCTTTTAATTAAGACACAGGTCTTATTCACCAAAACTTTTAAAATGTCAGTAGGAAAAACACAGATATCAATAATAAAATCAATGACGCCTGAATTCTATTTAGCTGCTTCAGTTTCATTGTGCTGGTGTTGTACCTGCATTTTTCCTCCTGCGATGAAAGTATATTCTAAGTAATTTTCTCAGTTTGTCATTTGAAAAAAAAAAAAGAAAAAAAGATTTAAATTCGCCACCCGGTCAACAATTTGTAACAAATAACTTTATTTGTGTAGCTCCTTTCTCAAACATAGTTTAAAGGTACTGCACAAAAAAGACATCAAAATACAGGTTAGACAGCCGTCAAAACAGTAAAAATATAAAAGCAAACAAAACAAAAAAAAAACATACACAGGATGAACAAGTTTAAGAAGTGGACAGAAATAGTAAAATATATTAAGAACAAGTAAAATAAACAAGAACAAAATAAAATAACCTCAATAAATCCAGTTAAGAGAAAGCCTTATGGAAAAAGTTATCTTGAATGTCTAAAAGAAGACACTGACGTTGCCAGTTTGAGAGGCAAGCTTCAGGAACAGTCAAGGGGAAACTACTTCAGTGTATATTTTCACATGAAGTCCAGTCGGATCATTTTACAGTTTTGAGATGTGCTTTGACCATTAGTATGTACTATGAATATTGATGGTAATCTAGCCACACTGCTAACATGCCCCATTTCAACTCACAGCTTAGTACTGGTAACACATTTTGTTTCTTATTAGAAACAACATGTGATATATTCATTGTTGTAGTAGCCCCTCTTGATGTATTTAAAGACAAATCTTCCCTGCGTTGTTTTGTAACATTGATAAGGTACATAAATGAGCCTTAGTATTTAGCTTTCCCAGAAAACCATAAATATCACCATCCATGGAGATTCGCTTCAGTGAGGTGGAAATGAAACTCCTCCATGCTGTAGGAGGGTTTTTTTTTACAATATTACAGTACGAATGACTAATAATTCCAAAGAGACCATGTTTTTGGAGAAGCTGGTTGTACTTTCAGTATGACATGGAGTAATGACATGTTGACTAAGTTGTAATACATGATACATGAGGATTACAAGTCCATCAGGAAACTTAAATGTAGGATTAAAAACCCATACATAAAAACAAAACAATAGATAAAAGCATTATTTAGTGGTGTTAGGAATGTTGGATGCTGACATCGGACAAAGCCGCTACATCGTAACACTCCTGTTTCCTATTAGCTCCTTGAGGATCAGAAAGACAACGCAGTCCACTCCGTATCCGCAAACTGTTTTCAACTAAAAATAGCAGCTCACACAACTTCACAGAGTCGAGTTATAAGAGTACCCTGGGATTCCTGCTTAGTGAAGTGGGGGGTCAAAGGTGAGGGGGGTCTGGCCTATAGTAGTGCTTCCTGTTTCAGCTAAAATAGTTTAAATCCTTAGAGAGGTGTGGGTAGGAGACAGAATGAGGCCCACACATTTCTGAGTTTGATTAGGTCACACATGACTGATGCTAACTGAATGTTAAAGTGAATTATTTTTGTTTTAACTCGCTAAACAAATAGTGGAGGGGAATTCCTGCTGTAAATGGTTTCACTGGGAAGAAATAAAGTCCTTCTCTTTATGTAAAGATGCTGTGGTGAAACTTCGATGGTGCCTTCATGGTGGTGGTGATACGTGCAGGTTGTCTGATACATGTCCAGCTGCGTGCTCAAACTTGCTGCGATGGTGGGAGAGGGAATCTGCGCTGGCAGGCAAGTCATTATCTCGAGTTGTATGACTCATACTGTATGGCTTCCTTTATACCTCAGGGAACTTGGAATCACAGTTAGTAGAAAACTTCAGCACATTATCCCGCCACTGACAACAGAAACCACTACATTCTCCTCAGTGATGTTGCCCACTTTCAGTTCAACTCTTCATAAGCTCAATCATCAGGTGCGTTGGAAAACCAGCAGAGACAAAACAACAAACTGTATCAGTGGTACAATCTTGACGTGTCTGCCACCTGTCTTGTGCTTGATTTCACCTGAAAGGTGGGTTGAGACATACATCCGGGAATGAACCACCTCCAGAGGGTCCTGAGTGTTGCTGATCATAATCAGTCTCTGACATCACACTGTCACATCCTTAATATTTCTAAATGAAGACCCTAGTGAGGATTAAGCGGTGTATAGATAATGGATGGATATATAGGATTGTTTTAAAGTTCCTTACTACAAGTCATATAACCTGTATACATATGGAGCATATGACATTTAAAGTATAAAACAATCTATAAAAGAGTCTGTTTGTTCCCTCAAAACAGCTTTAATAGTCACAGATAAAGTACAAGAGACAATAAAATCTGTCTAGAAAATACACTTTGTTTCTGGTTCCTGTAAACATTTCACATAAGAAGATTAGCTGATTGCGTTGGCATTCACTTAATGGGGATCCTTTAAACAGACTAATAAGCATGTACGGGTTTATATTTCTCTCAGTCCATTAGTCTTTCCTTATTTGAACAAGAGAGGAGCTCTTTCGTTCTCTGATGTCATGTTTCCCACACGAGTATGAGATAGCATGTACAAATAGTACACAAGCTTAGTGTCGCTGTCTAAACAATAAAAGACAGACTTTAAGAGTGAAGCAATTCCCAAATTGTCTATTTAAATGTTTCTTTATTTATGCTTGTTTTTCAGACCTTCTCATTCCTTCTCATCATTGCGCATTATTAGTGTCATAAAAACTGTACTGAGTTATTTAAAAATGCTTTGCGGTGGGAATAGAGCCTTTAAAGCTGGGTGAATGGCCGAATAACTTCCAACGTTCTGAAAATGTGAAAACATGAGAAAGACAGACAAATTGTTGCCAGAGTTCCTGGAGATGAATTGTGACATCAAAGAATGAATGTTTAAATGAATCACTGAAACCTCACAGCAACCTGTACCGGCCAGTCACAGAAGAGCTGCTGAAACCTCACAGACCATGACGCTGCAGACACTGGACAGATGGGAGATGGAAGAGATGGCTGTCTCATGTAGCCAAAACAATCTAAAGCTTAAGGATGAAAAAAAAGCAAAACTGTAGAGATGAGGGGAGACATGTGGAGAAATCCTCCATCTGGCTTTTAAATAAAATGCATCCGTGTCTATAGGATACACCGTAAAAAATAAAATAAAAAGACTTTTCTATTAAAGTTAGAATTTATAATAAAAATATAGTTTTAATATATGTGAATTAGACGTTTTGTAGAGGATTGCTCACTAAACACAGCGGCTACTTGAGCTAAACTCTAATGCTGACAAGTTAAACCCATTCAGGACTTTTGGGGTCTTTTGGACCCCAGGCCAGGTTTAGCTGTGTTTTTTTTTTTTGCTTCCAAGTGCATGACAAATGTCTCTCTTTTTATATTAAAAAAAAATCTTAAAAAAAAAAAAAGTCTATAAAGAAAACCAACAAATATTTTGCACAAATTCTTTCTTGGAATCCAGTGGACCCTGAAAGACCTTCTACGTACGGTAACATTAAAGTCCTGAACAGAGTTAATATGTTAGAATCTAATATTAAGTGAACACAAAGTTAAAGTAATGGAATATCTAACACTAAAAACTCATCTCTGTGCATAAAATTGCATTATCACATAATCTTTGCGTAAAAATAATCCCTTCCCGCCTTAAAATGACTTAATTGTGCACATCTAAGAAATCCCTGCCTCTTTTTTTTCTCACCCACCCGTACCCCTTGCTGCAGCTCGAGCACACCAGTTCACCAACACTTCACAGTGGAAAGTTGTAATATCGGAGTAATTGTACAGGCTGACAGGATTGTTTTCTCAGGTTTGTACCTTCAGTCCCTGGCTGTCCACATCCGTGTTTATGAGACAGTCATTGGTATACTATGGTTGGAATTGCGTTGTATGTGTGGTGTTAACTGCTTATTCACTTATGATATGCTTTTCAGCATATAAAGAACACCATATGGGCATTTTAAGAAAGTAAAATTAACAAACTTGATTTTCACCTCTGAGCTTCTTTAAATTCTATGTATACGTTAGCAACAATTTAAAAGTCAGGAGACAACCAAAGTTATTATAATTCATCTTGAGCAGGATATAAATGCATGCAGCAGATTTCACTTTGTTCAGCTACTACCCTTACAAACCACAAAGCGGTAAGCTGACCTACAAACAATGATACACAGTCCAACTATGATCAGCATTTTAAAAAATCCTGGGACCTATGACTACCTAAAATCTGAAATTAGAAAATGATATCGGTTTCAGCTGTGATCTGATTGGTTTCTGCTGCAGGCACTCGTAATTTTCCGTTTTCCATACAGTTCATCTTCTCCTTGGAGCTACACAGATGTGTGGCACTCAGCCACCCAGCATGTGAGAACAAGGCCGTCAGGAGGCTGTCGCAAGACTGTTCACATCTAATACACCCTCTGCATAATAGCAAGAGAAGTTATTGGGGATGTTTTTAACCCCGGGCACCATTTTTATGAGCATTATTCTAAGGTAAAGCAGAAATCAAGCTTCTTATCCAGAACACTCACAACAGGAACAACAAATTTACACAAGAATTTGTTATTGAGAGCTTGTAATTTCCCATCCTTGAGTCATCCATGCTCCCTATAAACAAACACATGTGTTACAGACTGAAGCTAAACAAGCAAAAAGAAAATGAAGTGCTTCGTCAAGTTCATGAAGTAGGACAGATTGTGGGTTTTATAAAAAAGCTAAACCTTATTCTGGTTAAAAGCTGAGATTTTGCGTGTAGCATGCTTTTTTTCATTTTGGTTTCTTATTCTGTATGTCTATATTTTCACACATGAACGCAACTGTATCTAATGCAAGTATCACAGGAAAAGATTGTTTTTTTTTTCTCAACATAGTCTTCTTTTGGTTCCACAGATGTTCACGCTTCACTGTCCCTTTGCGGAAGGGGTCACAGCTTTAGCCTCCAGATCGTCCTCGACAGCATGTGTAACTTCATCATCACGCTGAAAATGGTGAACAAGCAAGATTTCAGTTTGGGAAACAAATATAAGTCAGATGGTGCCAGATGAGTAATGTGCTTGGAGCGACAGTCCAGAGCCACATTTGGCTGCTTCTGCCACCGTTGCTGTGTGGACGGACACATTGTCCTGAAGCAACAGCAACCAACACGAAGCTTTCCTCTCCATTTTTCTTCTTTTGGTTCCTTCAAACATTAGAGTTTCTGTGGACATTGATAGAAGACTTTATAGTATACAGCTGTGCCACAAAATGGGAGTTACACCCCTTGATTCTGGGTGAGGCTGAGAACTTTTTGAAGTATCTTTGTACATCTGAACTCTAACTTTTCCCATAGTTAAGAACATAAAACTTCACAGAGCAGCAGTGCATAAATCTGTACTGTGTTTATGCTGCATAATTAAAAATGCTGTACATTTTAGTCTCTCTCCAGTGTTCATCCATCTTCCAGAAATGTATTTTTCCTGTGCACTCAGCCGTTATCTTGTGCATATGTCACTAAGTCCGTTTGCCTTCATTTGAGCATAACAAGATGAAGTCTAGGCACAGTCTCACAACCTCCCACAGCTACAGATTTTGCTCTGTACTACTTGAGAAGAAACTCTCTAAAACTGCCCTTGAACATGTGTACATGCATAACAATAACTTGCATTGATTTCAGCCGAAGTTATATTTAAATCAAGTGTTTTGTATTGTACATCTTATCATTTTATTAATAGATAGACACAGACCAAATGGAAAATTCCATCATGAAACAAACAAACAAACAAAAAAAGGTGACATTATATCAGCGTGACTCATATTGGGATGAGTCCTTTCTTCTTATCCCGCGTGTCTAGAAAAGTGCCTCAGAGTAAAAGAAGTCATTTCAATTAAACATTGTCCAAAACACTGGAGACTCTGGAGAAGTCATCAAGATTGTTAGTGGTGTAAGTTGAGTAAATCTTTTGAAGCTGACAGGAGGCTCCTGACCTGGTACTTTTCCTCTCATCTGTGCCACAGTGGTACTTGGAATAAGAAAAAAGAAAAAAGAAAAAAAAAAAAAAACGCACCCACTTTGCCAGCTTTACCCCATAAAAGGACGTGAAAGGAGAAAGCCTTTATCGTTCCCCTCTAGCTTGTCACAATGGGGACTGCAAGAGGTGGAGGGGGGCTATAATAAATACACATGCATGCATTCCTCACCCCCCACTCTCAAAGGCGCACATAAACACACAATGAGGTGACCCTCTGTTCCAATCATTCCAAAAAAAACACCTGCAGAGGGGAAGTTTAGCTTTAAAATGAAGTAATCAAAAGCAGACAGCTACACCTACAGATTACACAAACACATACTGCAACAAGCACAAGCCTGCCTCCTGCTGCTGCTTAGCAAATTAATATGCTGAGCAACACACAGGCACATGGTGACTCCCCCCTTCTCTTACCAACACACATTTACACACAAAAATTCCAAGCGAAACTAAAAAAAAATGTTTAAAAAAATTTACAAGAAAAATAAATAAAAAGAGCCACGATGGCTGTTTGGAGCCCCGTTGAGAAAGAGAAGACGGGGATAAGTGAAAAAAGACAGAGCATGAAAGACTGAAAAGGAGGAGGGAGAGGCACTGAGGGGCGAAATGAGGGGGTGTTGAGGAGGAGGAGAGAGTCTGAGAGGAACAACTTAAAACAGTGAGAGCTTGAGACAGTTTAGAGCACACAGTGCGAGCAACCAGAGCAGGAACAAAAGGACACAGAAAGTACAGACCTGAAGCAACCATCAGCATTCAACAGGTACAGATCACTGTTTTCAGTATTTTTCTTTTTAATTCACTTGAAGCTATCATGTCTTACCTGGATGCAAAACAATGGGATGGTTACATGTTTTTTCTTTGAGATTAATCAACAGTATTACTTTTCAAGGGCATTAGAAAAGACTCTCAAACTATTGTGTTTTTTTGTTTGTTTGTTTGTTTTTAATTATCAAGAGTACAAACTGAAAGTTTTTGGTTTGTCTTCAGGTTTCGGTTCTCACAGAACTCATGTGGCTTAGTGCCAAGAGTAGATGGAAGTGCTAATGGGGTCACCCCAACAGTTTCTTCTTCCAGCACTCAGCATTTATTTATTTTACGGTGTTTACGGGATGGAAACTAGAACATTGCAAATGTTCAACTGTACACAAAGGCATGCCTGAGCTATGAACTGTGGTAAATAGCATCCATCTGACTGAAACACTCTCACACCACTTTCAGCAGACCTTTCTTGTGTTTCTGTTCTTTGATATATCAAAATGCCAATCAAAATCTCATTTACCCTATTTTTAATATCCTTGTTACCACTGTGGATCCTTGTTGTCTTTTTCATCTTTGCATGTTTTCCCCAATTTCTCTATTTTAATTTCTGTGTTTTGACTGCTTCAGTAACTTCAGACCTTTGACTTCAGTTTATTTATTTCACCTTATGAAATTCCTTTTTAATTTGGACTATAGGTGTGCATTTAATATACAGCATATGTTCAGCTAAGAAACAATGGCCAGTAAAGATTTATTCCTCCGCTTGGACTGAATGTGAAAGTGTTGATGATCTACTGATGGTATTTTACAAGTCATTCTCATCTCTCTCTTGTCATTTCTATCCATAGAGATGACGTCACTGTGTAGGAACCTAGCTACACTTCTCCTTTTCATCTCGCCTCTAATGCTCTCCCACCTCTTCACCCACGCTGCCTCTACTTCCCCACCAATCACTCGTCCAAGGATCATATTCATGACTGGCTTGGACTTAGGTGATGACTATGGTGATGACTATGCTGACAGCCACAGCTCTCCTCCGAAAATACTGGCCTCCATGAGGACTCCCCTTCTCCACCAGGGACCTTCGCTCTGTCAGTACGACCCCTGCTTGGAGGATCAGGAGCCTTGTGCCCGTCTCACCGCGCTGACCGGATGCCGCTGTCCTGGGATGAGTGGAGCTGATGAGCCTCCTCACCCACCACGTATCGCAGCACTGCTGCCGGTCAGTGACGGGAAAGACAGAGGGAAGATAGAGGTGCAGTGGTGCGCTCCATCTTCAGTGGTGTCTGCTTACAGAGTGGTGGTTGAGGGAAGTGACAGTGGCTTTCTGGAGTATGGGAATGCTTTGCGGCGAGGTGTGGTGGGCTCTTTGGAGGTGGGGACCAAGGTGTGTGTGGAGGCAGTGAACAGTGCAGGACAAAGCGCCACCTCAGAGTTCTCGTGCAAGCGGTATGAAGCACCTGAATCTTCAGATGACAAACTGTTGGCCTGGATCATAGGAGGAGGAGTCGCCCTCCTTCTACTCATTGTCATAACAGCTGTGATCCTCTGGAAATGTCAAATATGTCGAAAGGCCAAGAGGGACTCTGCTGATGGACTAGGGAACCCTTCTTACAGCACAGAGGGAACGCTGTGATCCACAATCCATCCCAGTCACACTGAACAACCTCCGTGACACATGGAGCACAGCAAAAGTGTAATAATGAACAAAGGCCTAAAAGTTCTCGAGCGGTATTGTCATTGATTATAGAATTAAGAAGATGCTTGAACTCCTCTTTCAAGGAATCTGTAAAAATAACGGTACAAAGGGCAGTGCTGCTCATGGAACAGCACTAACAAATGATTAATTATGTTGTTTGGCATTAGAACTACAGGTCTATTTGCTGGCAAATAAAACTCTGTAGATTTATTGAAGCGTTGTTTTTTTTTTCTATCATGACTGATTTAAATTGTATATATTAATTTTTAGGATATAGCGACTGACTTAAATATTTTGTATTAAAATTATTTTAATAAAAACTGTGTAAATGTCTTGGTTGAATTGTTTCTTTCATTAAAAAAAGGCTTTGCATATGTTTGCATTTTGTACCATGCAGCAACTGAGAGGTGATAAATTAAAAGAAATACAGCATCAAGTGTCTAAGTAAGGTGATGGGCCTCAGTGTGCCAGCAAAGCCTTAGCATTGAGTCTCTGGAACTCCACTGGTGGGATGGATTAGGATTTAACTAAATAATAGATCCTCATTTGGTGTTTTGGTGGTGGTGAAGAACGCTATCGAGCATGTCTGCGCAAACTGGAATGAGCTCTGGTGACTGTGAAGGCCATAACGTTTGATTTGCATCACTTTTAAACTTATCAAACTATTTAGTGACCTCTCATGTCCTGTGGAAGGTGGCACTGTCATACTGGAAGACACTACTCTTATTTCATCAATAAGTGATAACTCAGAATGGCTTTGCATTGATTTTGATTTTTAGACAGATAAGTAGTCCCAAATCATGCCAGAAAAATTTCACACACAACTCAAGCTACCAGATCCCCTTTCTGAAAAGGTCAAAGGTTCAGGATTTTCCTTTAATCTGTCACCTGTCCATAGGTGACAAAATAACTCACTTATACTTGACACATCTTTAAAATATTCTACAAGCGATTCTTTGAATACTTCTGAGAATTTGAATGTAAAATTTCTACATTTTACCGCACAATTAACTTCAACTTTTATTTTGAAAGTCCTTGAAACGATGAGTGATGCGCTGTTTTTATTGGCTAACGGCTGAAGTCTTCCTAGTTAAGTCCCGCCCTCCCTCCTTATCTGAGCCAATGATATGACACAAACAACTTGCGGAAGAAGGCGCACTCTTATTAAGGAGATACAGTAATCACCGTTGATTAATGTTTTCTAACTTCGCACGTCAGTCGAGATGGCGGCCACAGGTGAGTCTGTTTTAGCTTCACGCACTGCAGCAAGTACAGGTAAACTAACTGTAAGCTGTCATTAACTATCTGAATATTATGAATGAACTGAACCATCCCGAATGTAATGTGTAACACTCTTTACTGCAGGTGAAGAGGAGAAAGTATCTGTATATTCATAAACGGTTTGCGTTGACGGGTTTGTGTCCCATTTGCAAACTTTTCACTTTAGCCACGTGTTTTTCTAACTAGCTAATAAGTATTAAATGAAACAGCCTCTTGTTTTACTGATATTCACTTAGTCCTTACAAGTGTTGTTTGCCAGTTTATGTACAACTACAGATGTTTTATCTCGATGAAACGGTCGTACTGTGCAGATACACAACATCTCCTTACTCAAAGCGAAACTGTGTTTTTGTAGAACTGTAACGTTCCTTGTAACAACATAATTGTGACCAAAGAAATATTTAATAAAGTCTGTTGGATAATACAGGCCTGACATTAGGATGATTATAGGCAATGTTATAGTATTGTTCCCCATGTTTAGTCTATGTGTGTTTGGCATGTGTACAGTTGTTCTGTAGACTGTAATTGACATGATGTGGTTTATATACAAAATATAGAAATGGGCTCTTTAACAGTTATGTATGGGCTGTAATCAGTAAAATATGTCCTTCATGAATTAAGTCAAAGTGTTTTGATGCATTAATAACTTTTCAGTCACAATGTAGGAATCACAATAACTTTTTGGCAAGTGGAAAACTGTCTTATGTGAGCAGAAATAGTCCTTCAAAGCTAATTCAGTCTGTAAAACAAGTGAACTGGTAATAATCAAGGCCACAGAGCAGCTAAAATAAGGCAGAAACCTGAGGATATTTGCTCCTGCAGATGCCTTTTGGCACCCATAATATTCAGAATGACTCAGCAGACAATTAAGGTCAAACTACAATTGCATTAGTAACTCTTCAGCCCTAATATGAGAACTGCAATAACTTTGTGGTAAGCAGAAAACTGCCTTAGGTAGAAATAATCCTTCAAAGTTATTGTAATCTGTAAAAAAAAAAGGGGGATTGGTAATAATCAAGGGCACAAAGCAGAGACTTAAGGATATTTGCCCCTGCGCACACTTTTCACACAGATATGATTCAGAATGACTCAGCAGACAATTATGCTCAAACCAGAAGCTACCTGGCTGTCTCTTCAGGGAATGCGCTCCTTATTTCCAGGCACACACACACACACACACACACACACTGAACACACTATCTGATAAGAAAAATAATGAGTGCCAACATGAGGGAACAATCTTCTGGTGTGGAATGTATCCCGAAAGCAGACCTTTATAGCCTTACGTATTTCCAGACCACTTTAATCCCCAAGCCCAGGATTTTCTCAGCGGTTGAAATACAACCAAATGTGAACAAACAACGAAGTGAAACCAAATGTCAGTTGAATCTGATCTGCTCATGATCAACTTTCTAATATCAGTAACTCTGTCAAGTGTCATACAAAACCTGAAGTGACTGAAAGCACCAGCTTGTTACTTTCAACATTGTAAAGAGTTGGGATATACAAGTAGCTTTGTAACCCAGTGGTTATTTGTATATGCTGGAATTGCTGTGGCACTAAAATGTGGTCAGTAGCCTTATGTAAGTGATTGCAAAAAACTAGAATGTTGTAGTGATAATAGCCATAAAATATCAGTTATGTCATGGCTGATACCTGATGGCACTACTGTTTGATACTTACTGTGTCAGGCTGTTTTGTCACCTGAAGCCAAGCCTGTGTTTTATACAAGTGAATGGTGCAGTTTTATGGGAGTTATCAAAGCCTTTGATGTGTTTCCTTTTCTTATTGCCAGGAACCAAGGAAATCTACTATGATGAGCTGAAGGATCTTATGGAAAAAAGCCAGAATCTCCTTTTGGTTGATGTCCGCAGTAAAGATGAAGTGGCTAAAGGACATATTCCAGGATCGGTTCACATTCCTGGTGAGCTTGTTTTTAAATTGTTTGACATGGCAGAGAAAAAAATAAAAAAAATAACGAAGATTAAAATAGATACAGAATGTGCCTTTTTCTTCCTTCAGTGTTTTTCTTTATTATGCACGCTGAAAACAAACCTTTCCTGAATGTGTTGTTGTGCATATTGGATATGAAAATGAGCAGTGGTGTATCTGCTCTGGGTTTTCAGTTTCTGTTTGTTTTGCATTTAATGTTTATGTTTATGTCCATCACATATGTAAGTTTTCGGCCTTCCTCTCTTTCATCTTTTATTCCTGCAGTTGACACCGTAGAAGCTGAATTCTCGCTGAGTCCAGAAGAATTCAAGGCCAAGTATGGAGTAAACAAACCACCACTGGATGCACCGGAGCTGGTGTTTCACTGCATGATGGGTGGGCGAGGAGGAAGAGCCACGAACAAGGCCTATGAACTAGGATACGCAAAGTAAATAAGTTATTGTTTACTGTGCATAAAACACATACAGCCCATCTCACTTTTAAACACAGCTTAGGACTCTGATACACTTGCAGAAACATGTCCATTGTTTTATTTTTCTGTCGTTATGCTTCATAAATGTACTATATATTGACAACAGTTGCCATCTGTGTCTCTCTGTCCTCTGTTTCAGTGCACGTAATTTCGTTGGTGGATACAAAAAGTGGGCTGAGAAGGAAGGAAAGTGATTCATATTGAAGAAGAGCCTCAAATATATTTACCCAAATAGGAATTGTGACAGGTTGACGGGTGAAATAAATAACACTTTACAATTTTATTTTGTAACACTGTGTTTCTTTCATATAGAATATAATTGTATTTTATATGTATGAATAAATACAAATAAATTAAATAAAACCAGAAAATCACTTGCTAGATGTTTTTTGTGGGTGGTTTCCATTCTACAATTATATGCATGGTTAGTTTTTAAGTCAGACAATATATTGGAAAGAATAAGTGAAACACATTTCTAAAAGAACTTTGTGAAAAAAGATATTCTTTTTTTTTTTAACAGTCATGAGGTTATGGTTTAAGTAAAGGTAATCCTAACTAGAAACAAAAGTTTAAACATGATTTATATGAAATATAAATGGTAAAACTGCTGTTGCATGTGGTTTTGAGGGTGGTTTATTTACACAAAGCAGCACATTAAGATTGGGTTGGGTAGGATTTCTTAGTTATTTTTTCTCTTTCACATGAATGTTTTTTTGATTTGATTTTGGCAGATGTCTAATAAGTTAGTATTTCTTCCTTGAATTTCAACAGTTAAAAATAAAGGAAACAAAGAGTTTTAAAGGGAAATTCTACACTACATACCTCACAGTGAAGAGAAAGAGCTGACCATTTTAGAGATCAAATGTACAAAAATAGTTGAATACAGCATTTGTAATTGCTTTCACGTTTAGAGGCAACCTCTTTGGCGCAGTATTTCGAAACTCCTATCTGCTTCCAGGTGCGTGAAATTATTCACTCAGGGGCATTTACACAAAAACAAAGACTTACATTTGTAATAATTATTCATAATAATAATTTACAGATTATAGTAATTTCCTCACTTGTAAGGTTGAGAAACGGTGAAGAAAAGTATTTTATTAATTATTAATCATATGTGTGTGACTGTAAATCTTTATGCTGTCTCTGGTTTAAGGTACACCTTTGCGCATGCTCAGAGGCTTAGCGCGCGAATATATAATTGTGTCAAACTAAAATGTCAAGAGAAATACAGCAGGTAAGCCTTTAAATTAAATCTATTCTAACTAGAAACACGACGTTTGTGGATTTAAACATGTCTTAACGATTAATTGACCTGCTTGTAATGTCTGTAGAGGAGAGAAAAACTGTCAAAGTTTAAAGCAAACTAGCGTAGTTAGCGTTAGCTTGCTAAGCTAGTAGCTTGTTTTTCCAATCACATCTGCAGGTGCTGCGGCTCATCATGCTAACTGGAAAGTACAGACAACCGCGGGGATTCAAGACTAAAGGAGGGCTTTTGGTTCTTTTGTGGACTGAAACAGAAGGTTCTGGTCAAAGGATAATCTGCACTGGTGTGTCTTAACACTTCACCGTGTTCTCATATTCTGAGCCGCTCCTCCAAGATGAGTAACCAGTGGAACAGAAGTGTTTCAAAACAGCATCAGCTTTTTTGTTAGATATCTATGTCTATTGAAATTTCAACAAATAGATGAACAAAGTTAGCTAATCCTGGCAGGAAAAAGCTGTATGTTTGATAACCAGTATTTTGAATATATAACATCAAGGTGGCTTTTAAGTGGAAAAGGCATCAAAACAGGCAAGATTGATTGATTGACTGATTGATTGATGGATCAGTTGTTACATTGGCATTTTTTAACTTGCCAATAAAGTAATAACTTACTCCGTTATTAGCCAAAAGATATTACGTTACCGGCTCAGGAGTTTAATTATGTTATTGGCCATTTATTACATTACTGGTCTATTAAATAATCATAAGTAATTAAAACGTTTTATATTGCTTCAGTCAAAAATAGCAACCATAACATGGGTATTAACATCCATATAATTGCTAAAATGACTTGTCAAGTAAAAATTTTAAACATATGGTGGAAAAAAATGACATAATTAGTGGGTCACTTTGAGGCGTGTGTACGCTTATTTTATTGTCCCCATTTAATGCTTCCTAAAGGGAATTAAAGGTAAACTGTAGCCAGCAGCTGTTAGAACAATGGTAAAACAAACAGGCTGGAAATATAGGACACCGTGTTATATTAATGATCCCTTTTATGGTGCAGTTGCAGCTGCTGGTCCCTGGTGCTCAGGGATTCAAATGAGAGCTCTTCAGCCTGGTATGTAGAAACAAGCTTTAACATACACACAAATCTTCAGCCTCCGTACATTATATCCTCTCTTTGTGGCTCTTCATTAGTCCTGTCAGATTTGAAGGAGAGCATGTTTCCCTGTGTGGGCCCATGTCCTGAACCTGACCCTAAGGAGCTGAGTGCCTTCACGGATCTGTACGGTTCCATCAGATTACTTCAGGCATTTCAGGTACAAACAATGTACAGGCCACTTTTTTGGCAAAAAATAATTACTGACCTTAGAATAAATCTTTTCAGAACTATAGTAACTTAGTAAAATGTCTTTACTTTTCTGGTCTTCATAAGAGGACCATTATTACCTAAATGTCAACTAACAGAGCTGCATAAAACTTATAATGAACCAAAACTATTATCATTAAATCTTGCAATGGAATTTCTCCTGTATTTCCTTTCAAACACTCACTCACCGAGCCGGGGAGTGACATGTTATCTTTTCTTATCTTTGGCATCGCACAGATGAAAGGTGGAAGACATTGCACTTCAGAGTGGCGCGTCCGCATAGAGGCATTTCTCCGCACATTCAGTTTGGCTAACGCAGGGGTATGAAAAGATTGTTTCCCTGTCCATAATCATACCCTATGATACTGAGCAAAAAGTTGACTTCTCTTTTGTTTTACCCAGATAGATGTTCACGTCAAATTCAATCAGCAGACCTCACAACAAGAATTTAAGTAAGTTTGCAACTAAGCTGGAAACAGTCATAGCCATTCCATTTTTGAGAGGCTCCCACCTGTTAGATTATCTCACAGCATGGCAGGTTCATTCAGAGATGTGTATTTTAGGGGTTCAGTGCGAAAGCAGGCCAAACCACAAAAAAATCCAAAGTTGAGTTTTATGTTTTTTTGCTAAGTGTTATGGTCTACTCGTTCGTTGCAAAGTGGTCCAACCAACAGCCCACTAGTAATGTCACACTGCTACTTCGAACTTTGGCCCATAATGGTGTTGGCATGAAAATTTTGTAGCAAACTGGGCCAAGCCACAGGAAGTGCTGACCTTTATATCGCGGGCGCATGTAGTTCCATGTGTTTGTGATTCAAGATGGCGGACAGCGCAATCTCAAGCCCCGTGAAAACTCAACTCGTAAGTACGGTATGGTAAAATAAAAACTTAATTAATCACTGCCAAGCTTCTACATTTCTACCCCATGGTCTTCAAAAGTATCTCTAGTTCCTTATGATTACCCATGTACACTCTTCAATGCTGTTTAGCAAGACAGACCTTGAATCAGTTTTTTATACAAAAGATAGAAAATGTGGTATGGTCCACTTTGGCACTCAGCAAAAGGAAAAGCAAAATTAAAACTAAAATAAGTAATCACCAAGTAGCTGTGTCTATCTCTGGACAGTGTTGAAACATCTTTGGATGCATATAATGACTCCAACAACCATGATTTTTTTTATCAAAATAAATTTTAACCCAATTTTTCTCTAAAACTAGTAAATCGCATGTGGCTCACTTTGGCACTAACCCCCTCATTTGTTTTAGTTTCATTAAAATGTCAGTTTGTGTTACACAGAATTCAGCTAGTTATTGAACACAAATGTGTTTCATGAAGTCACTTAAACACATTAAAGTAAAAATTGGGGCTGATTATTCATTTCTTTGTTGATTCGTTTGTTAATTATTTTCTTGATTGAGTTGTGTGATTAATAAAAATGTCAGAAAACGTCTTGTTTTGTGTACAACTCAAGTATACTCAGTTTATTGTTAAAGAAGAGTAAAGAGACCAGAAATTATTCCATTTTAAGAAATTAGAATCAGATCATTTTTACTATTATGTCTTTATTTAAAAAAAATACTCATGAATGATTGATTGATTATCAAAACAGTTGGTAGATAATTTACATATAAACGTTCTAGTGTCAGATTTGTCCAAGGTGAAACCGAGTAATTTTTTTTTTGTACAATGTGGAGCACCGTTCCACGCATAGAAAACAGTGAATGCAGGTGCGCTCCACATTTCATGAGAAGATCACATTTTTAAGGGTGAATACCACAATCCACTGAAGTTATAAAAGTGCTGCTTTTCACCACTGTGGTTAACACAGCAGCTGCCTGTGCCGGTTACAGTGATACCAAAACAGCTTAATGATCATCATGCACTTGCACGAAGTTTCAACTCGCACACTCTCAAAAAAAAAGTTGCAAATGCAACCAAAATGGTCGCAGTCTGGAGACCTGGCTGTTGGTCACAGTTTCATACTTGCCAGCAGTGTTTTGACTTTTAGAGTTGAAACATATTAACAAAGACGAGGGTTGACTGAACTGAACCCCCTAGAGTGTATAATGATTATAAACTGAAATGACTAGCCTCTGTTTTTATGACATGCTGATGTCTGTATTCTTGCAGAGGCCAGATCAAGAGCAACGTTGTCCAGGCAGATCAACCATCACTGACATTGGATGTCACATGTTCTCGACAGTCAGTCATACTGTTTCAATATTGTTTGATGTGTAGCTGTTTGTGTTGATCAGTGGGAATGAATGTGTAAACAAACGACGCTATAAATAGTCCAAAAGGATGTTGGAAATACTGAAGCATATGCAGGTATATACACTATCGTTTAAAGGAAAGGATTTTCTGTTCTTGCATTTATAGGCCTCCACTGTGTGTGAAGAAAGGACGCTGGTGTCAGGGAGGACATCCTGTGCTTGGAGGCAGGGTGCCACTCAGCATCCCACCACAAGCCATGGACCAAGGCCTGCTTGGGGAGCTTAGTGTCCAGTTTGTTACACTGCTGAGCCCCTGTGTGCTGCAGTACCCCAATGTGGCTACAGAACTCACTCAAATACAGATATCCTTGTCTGGTTTTAATGTAGTACTCTTTGTGGCATCCAAGGACAGAGACTCTTGGCTAAGCCAAGTGGGGATTTCTGTATTGTGTCTCTGCTTTCTACAAATGACATGGCTATAACAGTGTTATCAGATAGTGACTTGCAGTGTGCACAGAAGGCAGTCAGGATGCTGTTTATATATGTGGATAACTGGAAGTTACTCACATTGTTGTGCGCATGAAAACTCCCCAAAATAGTTGTGTAACAAATGGAAAAAAAGATAGCTCTGGAGCGTATTTTCTTGCCTCCCCACAGCCGGCCAATCATATCGTGAAATGTCAGTGTCAGTTTGTCATTTTCGGAAAGTTACCCAACATGCAGCAATCATTTCAGATGAAGTATACTGGTTCAGTCGATGATCTAGCCCTCACCTTGGGCCATAAGAATTGGACCGACCAAAAGAATGAAATCACAGATACACCCAGTCTATAATATACAGCTGGGTGGCCGGGCTACAGAGAGAGGAGGGTGAGGAGCGCAGACATCTGCGAAGAACTCAGGGTAGAACTGCTGCTTGTTTACTCGATTGAGGTGATTTGGGCATCTCATTTAGATTCCTTGACATGACATGTTTCCAGGTGTTGGTATACAGCCCCAGTAATGTTCCTGTCTCAGGCCCCTCTGGCTTCTTCCAAACTCTCCCTGCTGATCTGGACTGTCAGCAACTGGGCTTGGACAGATTGCACTGCTCCTTCTTCGAAGGTAAACAGCAACCAGTGCTGGGAACAACACTCACCGATGGCCGGAAAACATTTTAGGTCTTTCACTAGAAAGGATGATTTTCTAATAAAAAGTGTGGAAATTGAAGCTGGGGAAGGTCCGAAGCCCAGGACAGTTAATCCTGTTTTAAAAAGACACTTTTTGAAACAATTAGGACTTTGATTTGTTGTTTCTCAACTATGTGGTCTGAGTTGATGAAGACTAATTTCAACCGCCTGTGTGTCTTTGTGAGGGGATGTGTAGAGAGCTCTGGCCCGAAGCTGCTGCAAAAAATTTTAATGGATCACATAAACCTATAATTTAAACCAGAGGAATACAACAAAACAGGACAATGGATGAAAAAAAATGCACACAAAATACAGTAACAAATACTTTAAAGTGACAGCACTTGAGTGAAATAGAGAACAGGCTTTCCTTTATGAGACAGTAATGCAAATCTGCACTCAGAATTGAAATAATTATTACTCTGTTTTGAAAACTGTCTCCTGTGAATGATGCTCATGTGCAACTAATTTGCACTTTGCATTCGTTGTGAACATTTGGTTCTAATTAGGCTTTAGTTTTCCATTCACATCGCAAAGTATTCTCACAGCGGAGATTTGAGGTGAAGAATGTGTTTTACAATGTGTTTGAGTTGACACTGGAGACCCGGGTTCTGATGCTGTCTAATGCTGGAAATCAGTGTTTAGATTGGTCATATTTAACTAGAAATCTTTCTTATCATGTCTTCATTTAAACAAAACACTGAAAAAGTGCTTTGATCACATTTTTTTGTGTTGACAGCAACGTCAGTACTTAAGGAGAAGTGTTTATTCAGTTGAACACTAACATCAGCATGATTATGTTATCTCAGTGACAATGCTGACAAACGGATATTTAGCATGTTTTGTCTGTGTTTTGGTTTGTAGGTATTTGGTCGTACAGCCAAGCATTGTACAACTAAAAATCTAAGTTTTGACTTCATGTTGGTGTGTGAAGAAAAATCAAGAGATTACCAAAGTTATCGCAAATCATCCAGAGGGTTGTACCTGATGTTGTGGCCACCTATCCAATACTTGTGTAGACATGTTATTAAAACTAGAATGACTTTTGAGGAAGAGTCAGCTTACCAAATTGATTCAGCGTCATCCTCTGGAGATCATGAATGTCTAGACAAAGTTTCACAGTGATCTATTCACCTGTTGTTTTCCAGATTTTAGTCTGGACCAAAATGGGGGACAGACAGTCATCATTGACAGTGTAATCCTGGCAGGATCAAAGTTACATCCACTATCGATGAGTAGTGAATAAACTGGAAGTAAAAAAGTACACTAAATAATCTGTGTGTGTCCAGACAGCAGTTGCCTGATCTGAATTAAAAGTAATTTATGTGTCGGATAAATGTTGGGCTACTTCAATGCATCTTTGAGAGAACTGATTTGAGTTGATTGGAAGTGAAATGAGTCTGGACAATAATCATCAATAAATAGTCTTGTCTTCATCATAAAATAAGATACAGTATAGTGTATGACAGTCAAATGCAGTACAGTTCCATCCTTTTAACAATCAAGAGCTGACTAACTAGTCTTTCATAATGTTTTTCTTTCCTGTGTAAATTACACAATGAATCACAACCACAAGCAAAACCACAAGTCCACATAAATCACCAGCAGCTTATTCATTTACCGTACACTATTTGACCTGAAAGAACCCCATAATAAAGCCTGTTTCAGTCACTGGCTGCTTGAGATAAGATCTTTGTTTATATTAGTGGGACGTGTTTGAGATGCTAATGTTTTCACACACAAGAGAAGATCTGAACTTAAGTTTTAAAACTAGCACTGAAAAACCAAATATTACAACATTGATTTGCCCAACCCAACCCAAAGGCGTGTCTCGTATTACGACAATGTTAGGTACACGTTGTGATGGTTACAACCCAGTGTGAGTACCAGCATGCTTTCAACCATCAAGTGTAGGCTAACAGGGTGTTTAAGTGGATGTCATCTGAAACAATAACATTTCCCTTCTGTTTTCCTCTCTTCCATTTTTATTTTTCACTCGGCCATACATGTTTCAACATCCCCTGCAGATCCTGTGCACAGCGGTGGCACTGTTTACACAGTGGAGCAAGAAAACTGGGACGATCCAGAGCAAGAATCAGTGCAGCAGAGTCTCCTAGTTTTCCTCTTCTTACAGCATAGTGACCCCTTCATCTCCCATCTCACTGATGTCTTGGGTGAGATACCATTGGAGCATATATAATGAGAAAACATTGGGTTGGAGATGGAATCTTCACAATTTTTCTGAAAAAAAAAAAAAAAAAACAGATTAAAGTCCAAGTTGCTGTTGGAACTATAGCTGTAATCGGGACTGTCTTTGATCTTCTTACAGCTACAGAGGTGTTGATAGAGCACCACCTGGAGGATATTCTGAACAACAACAGACAGGCGGTCACAACAGCCCTGCAGACAGAGCTGAGGAACACACTGAGAGCACAGAAGCGCAGAAAAAAGGCAAGATCAACACATACTTGTGTAGAATGGTTTATAGGGCCCTTAACTAATAACAACTTGACTGAATGATTGAAAGACTCATTGATCAAGTAAGATATATCCTGGTGCCGTCTTCTCATCTCTGAGAGTTTGCTGCTTTGCTCCGTTTTAATTCAGTACAAACCAAATATCTTTGGGTGTGAAGTGCGAAAACAAGCAATATATTAAAACATTGCCTTGGACTGTGTAAGCCTGTAATGGCCATTTTTTAAAAATGTCTAACATTTTATGGACCATGCATTCTGATTTTCGATCATTTGTTTGAAATAGAATAAATAACCAGTAGTTTAATGAATAATAGTTTTAAAAAAAACAATCAATGGGGCTGCTGCTATAGCTCAACTGGTTGAGCTGGCGACCCACGTACTGGGCTAAAGTCCCCGACGCAGCGGTCGTGCCTTTGAATCCAGCCCATGGTCGTTTGCTGCGGGTCCCTCCACAATTCTTCTCCCCACTTTCCTGTCTCTCTCTCTCTACTGTCCTGCCAAATAAAGGCAAAAAGGCCAAAAAAAATAACTTAAAAAAAAACAAAAAACAATCGATTACTGTGCCTCTAATAGTTTGTGTTTGTTTGTTATGTGTGACATCTAAGCAGCAAGAGAAGCTGCATTCAGCTGCCAAGGTGATTCTCAGTTCATGCATCAGTATTATGAGCTGCAGCAGTAACATGGACTTCAGAAACGCCTGTCTGAACAGTATGAAGGTGCGAAAAATATTATATATTTAAAACTGTTTATGCAAACTTTTGTAGTTAATTCTAAAATTAAAGGGCTTTTGCTTTTATAAACCATTAATCATATTTTAACAAAGACTCCACTGCCACATCTACTGTAAAATTATGTGCTATACTGTAAATACCAGTTACATACAGGAATATACATGTACGAATAAAGTGTTAATAGCTTGACAAAGGTCAGATGTGTGTACATAATGTATGTGTTTGTCAGGTGGATGACACTCGTGAATTGTCAGCCTCCCTCCGGGCATCACTGTGGAGAGTGACATCATGGAAATTCATTCCCAGGCGCAGCTGCTATTCTGGTCAGGTGAGTGTTTGCGTTTCATCAGCCAGTTCCTATAGCAGCACCTCATTACTGATAGACATCTGACTTTGACTGATCATCTGGAAATATATAGTCTGCATACTAGTACACATGATCCCAATGACATTTATTAAATTACTACCTCATAGTGGTTGTAATTTAATAAACTTATATTAGTGTGTGGACGGTAGTTTTCCTGGTAATGACTCACATTTATTTTCTAACATCTAGAATTCATCACATAAACGTTTGGGCTTTTTTGAATGATTTTTACATTTTGTTTTGGAGTGGGATCTAATACGACTTCAGTGTTTTGACAGATGGAAGAACATCCTGAGAGTGATGAGCTGAGCAGAGCAGAAATCTGAACATGTCTGAGAATGTTTGTCGGGAAAGACTTTGGTTCTGGTTGTGGAAGCAGTTCAAACTGTAATTAATACACTTTCAGTTTAAAGTTTACTAGTTATGTATTTTGCAGATGTGCTTTTGACTGTTATATCTGTTTAACTCTTAATTTTAAAGAGGCAGTGTTGTTTATATAGTTGTGTTTAACAAGATTTGATTGAACACCACTCGATAATCTAAAACGTCCTAAAGACGTCTAAATTGAGCTGAACAATTTTTTATGTTTATTCTTTATAATGCACTCTAATAAACAATTGTGTTCAATAAGATAAACATCCGTAGCATTAAAATATATTCCAATGTGAATATCCTTGTTGAGACTGTGAAGGTGCATCATTAAGGTGTGAAACAAGTGAAGCTGGATGAACCAGACGCATTATCATACAAGATCTGTGTTTGTAAAAAGTTTTCTTGTGGTTGTGCCCAAACTGCAGCGAGTGAAGAGTTAAAGTGTGCTAGCTATGAATAGAACTTTTTCTTTGACTACATTAACGGCTTAACAGTTGATTTACTTTTTTTAAAATCTAGTTATATTATTGTTATTTTTAGAATATTTAATTTAATTATAGTCAAACAAGACATAATTTAACAACATCCTGTGTTATAAAATGTCCAAAAAGAGATCAAACCAAATAGTTTTTTTTATGTTTGTTTTTTTTCTATTATGTACCGATAAACAAAATAAACGGTTTCATCAAGTAAACATGAGTAGCATCATATTGTGACCTTTCTTTTTTAGGCTATGGACCTCATTCTGGAATCCTAAAAGCACTTACTGCCCCCCCTTATAAGACCATCGGACATTTGCAACTCATTTAAAATGCTGGTACTATCGATCCATTCATTTTCTATTCACCGCTTAATCCTCACTCAGTCGTGGAGGGGCTGGAGTCTGTCCCAGCTGAGTCAGGGTGAAGGCAGGGGACACCCTGGACAGGTCACCAGTCTATCACAGGGCTACACTTAGAGACAGACA